CCTGTGGTCCTTGAGGTCCAGGATTTCCTGAAATTTTGTAGATGATGAAAATGACCGTTAACTGTTAAACTGCTATATTTTTTTGTGTAATCTTAAAATCCATTAATTAATAATTCTATGATAAATGTTTCATATACACTAACCAGGTTTTCCCGGAGGACCAGTGATACCGAATGGAGCATTACGACCAGCAATCCCAGGTGGTCCTCTTGGTCCTGCTGGTCCCGGTTCACCCTTCAAGCCGGGATGACCTACTGGATGCTCTGCATCTTCACCTTTTTTACCAGGTAGTCCTGCTGGTCCGTCAGCACCTAAATTAGTTGCAGTTTCATCTTCGATTTCATTTAGACTCTCATCCATGCCAAAATTTTCCTAACTTTAATATGAACAAAAAACATAATTTTTTACTTCCGAATTCTTTAAAAGCTTCAAAAATCAATTATTTTATTAAATTCCTCAATATTTTGATAAATAAATGAATTACCACGTGGTCCTGGTGGTCCAGGCTCACCAGGTGGACCAGGGTTCCCATTTCGTCCTGGTAAGCCAGCCCGTCCTTTGCTTCCGCTTAGTCCACGTGGTCCGGGACGTCCCAAAGCTCCTGGTGCACCTTGAGGACCAGCTGGACATCTGAAGCAACCTACAGTAGTTTTGCTTAGTTTAATGTTCATCCCATCAGCACCTGGTTTACCATCCATACCTGGCATTCCATCCTCTCCTGCAAAATCAAATCAAGTTACATTTCTTGAGCAATTTTTTCACTTAAAAGTATAGCGGTTTTTTGTTAATACCTTTATGGCCAGGTGGTCCTTTGGGACCCGGCGGACCTGGTGGACATTTATTATCAATACGGCATCCTGCAAATAGACGAGTTAAAAGCATTTCATTAAGTAACAGTAATCAAAAGACATTTCAAAATTGCAAAACATGCCACATGTAGCGTCACTGTCTCCTGATCCAGAAGGTGTAAGTGTTGTTGGACTTGTAGCACTGGCAGCTTCGGTTTTCAAAGTTTCATGTTGATGAGAGCGTATACTACTATCATTTCCATTTATTGTTGTCTCAAACTGATATGACACTGTGGTTGAATCATTTCTAGTACTGTCATCACCTTCACTCTTATCATCATATTGTCGTCGAAATCGCTTTTTTCGAGCAAGCTGTATCATATCTTTCCATAAATCATCTGTTGTTGCCTAAATTTCATTGAAGTAATTAATTTGAGACAAAAAAAAAAGAAAAAAAAAACGATTACAACTATATTTATCTTTCTTTATAATCATTTTCTGTTCATTATTATTCTCTTTATGCTAATTTTATGGAAAGTTTCATTTAAAATATGTTATCATAGAGGAATGAACCCAATCTAATAATTGTAATAAATGATTGTTGTTATAATCTGATAAATGTTATCTTGAAATATTTGAATATAAATTAATTATACCCTGAATGTACTAATTTCGGAATCCAGTTGATTCCAGGTCTTTTGTACATCGCTGTAAATCATTAGGATAGCAAATAAGCATGCTACTAATGACACACCACTTATTGTTGATGCAATCAGTGTCACTTGATGCACTTTCATCCTTATCAACATGGAATAATAATAATATTAGCATTTAAATCAATGTTATCTCCTACATTTTCACAATGCATTCAGAACTGGAAATCATTTCCGAAAACATTAAGTTGCTGGGGATAGCTTTTCTAATAACAATAAAACTGAAAATTACGATTCATCTGAAATGAATAATTTTCTTATCCTTTTTTTCAAAAACGCCCCAATTGGAGAATGATCATCAGAATTGTCGAGGGAAAGACTCTGTCACCTTTCAAAGCAATTTCAAAAACAAATAAATGAAGAAAAACACATCCATTTCACAAAAATGGTTTTTTTTTTTTTTGTTTTGAGAGGGATTGGACTTTTGGAATAAATTTAGGCCACATTTTTGAATAAACTGAAGAAAATACATTGACTAATTTTTCAACTTTTTTACACATTTTTTGTGCATTAGGTCATCCAACTTCCTTCAGTGAATTTATTTTCAAAACTGCGAAATTAGGACAGAGTAAATGGTAAAAGAAGAGACCCAATTCGGTTTTGCATAGAATTGATGCGATTTTTTAACGATAAGAAGAAACAAGACTAACGACTAATCTTCCTCCATTTTTTTTTTCAATTCCATTCCCTAAAAACAGTTGAAAATGTAGGCCATTAGATCAAGAGCTAAAGTTGTTCTGACTTAATGGCAATCTATCGCATTTAGAACAATGTCAAGACTGTATCACCGGCAAAATCGCCCTCAGTTTTTGATAGCGATTTATTTATCATGAATTTTCGGCATGTACATCAATTCAAATCTCCTAAAGTTATTACTTTTTCAACATAGATATTCTCAATTGTCGATGCATTTTCGAAATTCCGGAACTTTGCGATGATTCCTCATCCATAGTACAACTTAAAACAGCGCGGAGAATCCAATGCAAGATAGCATAGAATCCATCAAAATATTAGTGTTTTTTAGATAAGATGATGTCAACATTTGAAATGACACTTGCTGTTGAAATGAGCCAACAATTTAAAATTTCCTGGATTATATAGATTGTAAGACAACTGTGACAAGGAACAATAATTGAGAACGGGATACCTTTCGTAATTCATGAAACATTACTTACTTTCCGATCAGTCATACTTCCATCACTGTGAGGAATTCACAAAATTTAAATGCTTGAAAAGCCTTTACTTGAAAAGTAATTCTTCATATCATATTTTTATTAAACACAGTGTCTTTATGTTGAAATCACCAAAAAAGTATATAAATATTTATTAAACATCTACCGTATATGCAATCAATTACATCGAGTAAAAACTATATAAGTCATCACTTTTTCAATTCTAAAAAACTGTACTTATGAATTTTTGACCTAAATAATTTACATTTGAAAAGTTAAGATGTACTTCTATAAGCATCTATGTCCTTCTTATTTAATTCCTCATCAATCGCATTTTTACAGACTATGAAGAGTTCACAAAAATTTACATGTACTAAAATGTGAGATATAATCCAGTAGCTACTTCAAATTATTATATTTCTTCTCTTTAAACTACTAAACTACCATCATATTTTTCAAAAGTGATAATTTTTCTGAATCCTAATGAATAAGCAAAGCAGTAACAAAAACTATGCAATCACAAGTTTCACGAAACTCTGCCAGTAACTAAATCCTTGATAATGTCCAGCACTTTGTATCGTGAGATATTATCCAGCGGGATACTTTTTTCAATACCGCAATTGTACCTAAACTATATGCCATGATAGAAAATCAAGAGTGCTACGAAATAATTTTTTATGAATTACAGTCGGGACAACTAGCGGGTAGTAGTAAGACAAAGCAAACTGTATAACAAGTATGTACCAGAACAATCCAAAAAGTAAACCAATGAGTCATAACTTAAAGATAAGAAGTAGCTTATATTATAGTAGAGAAACAAGGAATCTATTAATGACTGACCTTGAATCGGTCAGCTCCTCTTGACCAGTCCATAGCAGTTATTGACTACGTAATAAGCAAGAAATACAAACCTGGCATAAACTTTAGGTTGTACTCCACTGCATTCTCGGATCAATATCGGGAACTGTCGATTGGCCTTCTTTAAAGGTACATAATCATTCTCGATGAAACTTCTCACACCAGCACTAGCTGATGAGGTAGGACACAGATGGATACGCAATTCACGCAGTGCTCCTTGTCCAAGCTTTATTGCTACTCCCGAAGATGCCATTTCTCATCTGAAATTGATGTTACCAATAATCTACTCGTAAATCTCTTATCTACTATTAATTCTGGATTCCTTTACTAATATCGTTAAAAAAGAAAGAACGTAAGGATGAGACAGGAATAGGAATGTGGATCGACTTGTAATTATAAATAGGACATTCATCTCCAACACTATAACAACATCTGACCATTTAAGATAAAATATCCGAAATCGCTCTTCACACGGCCTGAAAAGAGGACCAAACCTATCACTCACTGATATAGTGTCAGTGCGAAAATACTCTTCCCGAGAGAGACATTCGATGCTAGAGTAAGGGCATTCAAGTGATAAGAATATGAAAAAAACAAAACAATTGGAACTATGAGCAAACAACTTCATATACCTTTGACATGTATAAAATGCAAACTCAAAATGACATTTGCAGTTTATCGAAGATATTTTCATGCAAACTATTTATCAGACATTGACAATTACTTATTCCTAAAATCATTGATAGGCTAATAACTTAACAGTTGGGCAAGGTAAGATAACGATTATACCCGAACTCCTTCCTTTTTCTTGCATGCATATTCTTTGCTGCAAAGCGATAAATAATATCAGAAAGCATTCAGTGAGATCGTCGATTTTGCACAATGGCCTAATCGGTCGGCTGCATCTTAGCCAGCTATCGCTTGTTGTTGAATTTGCTAAGGTTCATCTGGGGCGCATTTTGTATTTGCAGGTTTCAGTCTTGTTTCCCATAAAACTTTACCTAACATTTGGGTAGGGTAAGGTAATTCCTCCTCCCATAAGATAGTATCCATATTCTTTGCCGCAAAGAGATATGTTGATTACCGTTTATTTCATTTAACTTCACTAATTAGCTGTTTGCATTCTTTCAGATCATTCTTATTTTGAAGAATGTCTGCAAAACCTACGGTAAGTGAAAAATGCCTAACGTTCCTGTATGTACTTATCATTTCAACAATATTTCCTGTCACAATTGTCTGTAAATGAGATATTTCATGCAAAAGAAAGAAGCAAGGCTGGAATAGCTTGAAAGAAATTGTTTTTCTTTTTTCATGAGTATTATTTCGTTTATTTATGTTGTAAAATAAGTGACTGTTAAGACATGAAATAACAATCCAGCATAATGCAAGTTTTGTTCAGAAAATTAAAAGTGTTTTGGGTGATTTAGCGTGGTTGTGGGGATAGTGGTAGAAGGAAAGACAGGGATCAGATGGACGTAGAGGGTGCTTTAGCGTTGGATCTGGCAGAACTGGAGGCAATGTTGGCGATTGATAGCGAACAAGTACGATATGATGAGCAAGTAAAGGTTGTTGTCTCAGTGAACAGATTTTTTATCCCATTTTTTCATTCAATAGAGCGATTAAAGGTTGTGTTTCAAGATAATGTAGGTAAAAAATGGGATATTCATATATAAGATTATATTTGCTGACACGCCTTAAAAAAACTTATTTTTAGGGACGAGATTTTCGAATGGAAGGATGCTCTAAACCTTGTTCTTCTGTTGATGCATGCGGTAGTCAGTTTGCTGTAGAGGTAAATTCAGGAAGAAAAAAACCATCGATCTCACAAGACGAAATGAAGTATGGGATAGTTTCAGTTTTCATATTATTGTTTTTACGGAGATAATTTGTCGTTTTTTGCATTCGTGAAAGTTAGGCCACAAAAATAGAGATTCAAAAGAGTGAAGTTCACATCTTTATCATTCCTGATATACAGCTCATTTGTCATTGTACTTGACTAATAGTTTTGTTTGATGTGTCTGAATTTATAAATTTGATTTGTTATTAGAAAACGGCGAAGACGAAGAGATGATGAAGATCGAGCTTCACAGAAGGCAGAATTTCCGCCGTTATCTTTGACGGATGATAAACTGGACCATGCTAATTCAGTTAATGATGACAGTATACCTAATGTATCGAAAGATAAAAAACAGAGATCTGATAATACACGATTTCAGGATTCAGTGGTAAAAGATTTTTTTCTCTTTTTTTTGAAAAGGAAATGGAAAATAGAAGAAAGATTATGATAGAAGGAAGGTTTTAAATTATTTTGCAAGTTTTTTAGGGCTTAAAATCGTCGCTGACATTAACAACTCCCCCACCTGAAATTGATGACAGCTACAGTATTTTTACTAAACCTACACCACCAGATGATGTAAAACGCAGAAATCCTCGTGTTTATTCATATAGTCCGATTTCACGAACTCGCTTGACTGTTCCTAAACGTCAATTTTCTCCTGAACCTGCCCGAAAAACTGCGAAAAGTTCGTTTTTAATCTTATTTGTAATCAAGTTCTGACACTAGCTTTCCGTCCTATTAATTTGTTAGACTTCTGATAAGTTTGATCACTTGGTGAATAATCTAGCACATTATTATTTTTCATTTTATTGTCTTGCACCATCCATCATTTTTCGGAATAAATGAATATTGATAAACGATTCATTGACTGTAATAATTGTGTTTAGTTGACAATAGTTTAAGTTATGTTCGCTAGACTTTGTTAGATTCTAAAACATGAAGAAAACCTTAAAAATTCATGGTGATATGCTCAATTGTAGTGAAATCTTAGTTACTTTTTTATATTTAGTATTGATCGGTCCGAGAAGAATAACCGAAACTGTTCACTTGTCGGATTTGACGAAAATTTTGTGCAAGGTGAAAGCTAGAGAATTTTCACTGCCGTTTGGCTTTACCTTGAAGTATAAGAAACGGTTTGCGGATGAATCGAAGTCAGAGACAGTTTCCCTGAATTTACATGGTTTGGTTTTATTTTTAGACCTAGGAAAGGTTTTTTTTCTTACGTTTTGGATAGCTTTAGCTTATGAGGATAAAAAATTCCTGTAAATTAAAAATGAAAGGCTCAAGTCCATTATAGTTATATATCTGTATTTTATTATAATATAAATAATTTTAATGACAGCTTTACTTTAGTTATCTTTCGCTTTTCGGCATCTTTTGTCTATTTCTGATTTTTAAATCCTCTTTACGAAGTTCAATTTTCAGATGGCAGGGATTCGGACGATGTTAATTCCTTACAGTTGTCTTCTGAAAATGATGTTGAAAATGAGTTAAAAAAAGAAACCTCATCAATACTTGACATTGCGATGAATACTGAACACGTTGCCATTTCTGCCCAAAAAGATGAGATAGGAACCTCAAAATCACACAATGAGTCAAAGTACCGCCGAGGGCGGAAGCGATTGAATATGAATTCTACTACAAGAAAAATAAGTTCTACTTCAAGTGCGGCAATACCGGTACGGTATGCTGTAAAGGAAGAATCGCCGACTCCATTAAATATATCAATTTCAAAGACAACAAAAGGGAAGCCACGGAAAAAAGCAGCGTTGATCAAATTGAAACGAGGCAAACCTCGTAAGAAGTAGGAATTCTTGTGGAGTAACTGATTTTTTTTTTGTCAAACTTTGGAAATAGTAAACGCCATTGTTTACATAAGTGTTCACGCTTGTATTTCGAATAAATAAGCACATAAATAATGATTTAATAGAAAATGAACCGATTATTCATATTTGTGTTTTAAAAATGTTGACACATGCAGGATAATGATTTAAGAAGCTGATATAAGCATGTGTTACATTGAAGTCAATAAGTCCTGTTAAAATTAAATGGCGCTTGATAAAAATTTTTTGGAATGGATAAATTTTTTAACTGCATTGTGAGATTTACAAATGGTTTTCTAACATCACAATTTGCGCTTTAATTTAGCTATTCCTTTCAATATTGTGAATTTCCGTTTTTACATAATTGTTCACTTTTTAGCTTTGCATTTCATATCGCTGTTGGTGAAAATACACCAAACTCAAGTTTACCGAAGAATGATCCTTTGACCTTATCCTCTTCGGAAACCTCGTTAAAGGATTCAAATAGAGAAGTAAGGATTTACATCTTTTCTGGTTTAGAAATGGGACTAATTATCCTAATATTTGTACAATTATTGAAAAATCTTCACATTTTGAGTTTAATAATATTATTTACAGGAGAAATTTTTTTCAAAAATTGGTATATGTTTAGGGTTCCACCTCATGAAATTCATTATAGAAAGATTATTGCATAAGATATTCTTTTTCCATGTAAACACTAGGAAATAACGAGTTATTAGATTTATGATCAGAGATTATATCTGGAGAATGCTAAAATAATTTGAAATGTATTTTTAACCAAATTTCAGCCAGCGCCAGTTGCATCACAATCTACAGCGCATGTGACAAATGTGTCACACTCACTGTGTTACAGCGATGATCGTGGCAATGAGACTGATGAAGTGAGTTTATTTCATTAATATTGCGAAAATAGCGCAATACTGTTGAAATAAGACGAAAGAAAGCATCAGAAAAGTTCCAGTTCTTTAATTATCTGTTGATATAATATATAGTAAAATTTTATCACTCATTCGACTTATAAAAATTATTGTCGAAATCTTTTAGAAAATAATCCAGTTCATTCATTTAAAATAAATTCATTTTAGCATGACGATTCAAAAATTGAGGTTTTGGATTCGGGTACGTCGATGATATTCAATAATGCAAATCAAGCTCAAACTAGTGGTGCCAGAAAAATGGATAATATTTTTGATACTGAAAAAGATGATTATGATGTTGGTTTTTTTTTAACTTTAGGAAGTAAAGTAAAAGATGCTAAAAAGTGACATAGAAAAACTGTTTTTGCAAAATTTATTTTTAGGATGGTGAGCGTTTACATATTGTGGAAACCGGTGATGAAGAGGATTCTTGTGATACTGATAATCGGTTTTTTGAAGGAAAGAAGGTAAGTGAACGTTTTCATTGTTGCTATTTTGACTGCTTTTCTTGGTTAGCGATGATTTTTATGTTAATATTTTACGGCAGAATCCCTCAGTCAGCAATGAATTTCGTCTTTTACATCTTTAATGTGAACTTTCTACTTTTTCTACAAATAATTTGTTATATATACCATTTATTTTAGGGAAAAGATCCGGATGAAATTGTAACAAATGTCGTCACCAAACTGGTAGAGCAGGTGTGTATAGCACATTCATTGAGTGTTAATTTGATAATGGAACCGTTACGGCGTCCAAATACGGTTACAGCAGAAGAGTCACGTCGCGTTCCACCACTGCGTATACGTATACCACAAAGACGCGAACCACGTCAACGTCGTCCTGCGCGAGTACATGATTATTCTCCCCCATTGCCTGTTAGCAGAATACACCGCTTTGAAGAAACGTTGAAAAAGCGAACATCAGCGGAAAGCTCTAGTGATGTTGCTGTAGAAGCAAGACAAAAGAGGTGGGTTTCCTTTTTATGCTGTTTTTTTTTTATGTTTGGATTATGGTGCATGTGTAATCATCCGTGAACCTTCAAGTTACGCGAATGCGTGATTTTGTTTGTAAATACTTCGAGAGAAAATCCTCATCATATCTTCAGCATATGATTGAAATTCGATACTGAAATCCCATTCCTTATTTTGTCCCCAAAATCAGTGGAAAAATCATTTCTATTAGTAGACTCAGGACATTCCTTTTGTACTTATCAAAATCTACTGAGATTATGAATTATTTGCATATGATTGTTTGGAAGTTTCATTGCCCTATATTAGCTTATTTTGATCATTTGCTATACCATGCATTGCTTTTTTTTTGTTACTCTGTTTAATTTTAGGAGGTAGTAGTTTTGGGTTAATTCTAACTTTTTTGTGAGAATTTGTTGTCTGTTGTTTACAAATTTTTTAACTGCTATTTTTACTAATTTGTTACAGGTCAATGGGAAACAAAGAAGATCAAAAGAAATGCTCACTTAGTAACAAAGAAACTGATACAAATCCTCGATTTCCATCAAACCGGAAATCGTCTGCACTGTCTAATTCGGATTATGTATGTATTTGATATTTCATGTCCATATGTTTGAATTTCAAAATGGAAACTTTTTGTGCTAAATTTAGGATGATCTATTTCAAAGAGGCATAATAATATTCTGGTATATGATAAGTCATTTCTCATACATCCTGATCCTAAACGAGTCTTTGCTTATATGTATGTTCGTAATAATTTAAAATCTTAGCACTAATAATTTAACAAACAAGTTGCTTTTTTATAGACTTTGCCTCCGTCACCAATACTGATAGGCAGCAACCATGAAGAAGATATAAAAGCAATTCCGTCAGCTGTTCACGAAGGATTTGGTGATGTGAATCCATCACCGCTGTCGTCTTCAGGGCATCCCCAGGTGCTCTTCTATTGTATCGCTCTCATCTCACTTTCAGCCTTAGTATATTATTCTAATGTGCACCTATCAGACTACAGCAACGGAAGGATTGTTATAACTTCCTTACAGAACGCTACATCCAGAAGCATAGAAACATTCGAATTGCTTCAGTAGTCTGTTCTACCTTCATTATCCTGGAAAATTGTTGACTAGTTCATTTCTAACAGCACGGTTTACTGAAACTTGGTAAACGCATAGTATATATAATATTAGGATAAATAACGTATTTAAGTGCTTTTCAGATGAATTCATAGAAAACAATAATACAAAACTATACTATCCATTCATTTTCTGCTTTCAGTGATCATTAATAAATGATTCTGGCATAAGTCAGTTTGTATATGGCCCATATGTTTTTGTCATGAAATCACAGCAGAATATTGGTGAAGTTCATTTAGCAAATTCAGTAATCAGATACCGAAAACTGATATTTTCAGGAATGCCGTAGTACTAACTTAGATCCAGCTTTCAAAGAAGGGCATGAATGCGAATCGACTGGTCGATCTACACGTAAAAGACCGATTTCATACGAACAACTCTACCCATCTTTGTTTAGTCGACGGCGTAAGTCAAGTATCGTAAAAACTCCTGCAGTGACGCAGCTAAATGTCTTTGATTCTGTTGAATCCGATGGTGCTGCCAAACTCAGAAGTGGTGTAGAGAATAGTGATGCTGTTTCGTCAGGATGCTTGCCATCGAAACAGAAACGAAAACGGGGACAAAATTCGATTACGGATAGTCAGTTTTTACTTTATTTTGCAAAATTTCGACTAGTTCATGGCTCTTTCTTTTAAAAGCATAAGGAATTATATATATTGTTTAAGTAATATAGCATATTTAGGCAAACATGCTGATGACAAACTTCAGCAATCGTTTGGCGAACAGTTGGAGCTTGACACAAGTATTTATGATTCCGAAGAAGGAAAAGTAATGTTTTCTCGTTCATAACGTTTTCCTTTATTTGATTTGACGCATTACAGATGTTCATATTTTCAGTGTAGTCACAGTGTACCTTCAATATTGTATAGCAAGCATACTAAAATTTGAACCGTACTTTTCTGAAATTTTCATGAATTAATGTTTATTTTATATCACAGTTTAATATACTCCTTAACAACTCATTATATATAATTCAAGGATCAGATCAATTCTTACCCCAGAAGCAGTAATTTGACATATTACGATGATGGATCTTATGATGGAGCCAGGAAGAAAGCTTTGACTGAGGTGATTAAAGCAGAGAACACTGGAAGTGCTGCGGAAGAAGTACATTCAGGAGAAAAAACAAGGCGTCCTTCAAATTGTTCGATGCGAGATGGAAGAGTTCCATCAATATCTGAAGGACCAGAGCAAGGTATTTCTTCTCAATCCATGTCTATCGATTAGAAAATGTTGGCACTTCATATGACACTTGCTCAATATATATAATAACTGCTTAATTTCCGAATATACCTGCTATTTTGTGATGCAAAATCAAAAAAAAAAAAGCACTGTTTATCCAACATGATGCGAATATTAATTTTAGATATGACAATCAGCTCTACAAATACACGTCGCCGCAGAGTACGTTTAGATTCAGAAGGAACTAACGAGTTATCTTCAAATCTGTCGCAGTCAATATCAAAAGGTCGACGGAAAAGTAGTGTGTCAGTTGATGTTGATCCTGCAAAATCTGGTGAGATTATTTGGAAATTGGGATTTGTGTCATTGATCCGGATTGATTAAGCAAGCATTTTATTCCAGAGGGGAATGAATTTCATGCTTCTACTCGATTAAGAAGCAAACGAATAGACTCGAAGCCAACTTCTGACAAAACAAGGCAAAAGTAAGTTTGCGAGATGTTACGATTGATTTGGGGGTTATATTGCTAGAAGGTCTCACTGCTTGGTTCATCTGAAAAAGTCACACCAGCTTTATAAATTATTTGAAAATCGGAAGCTTTATATACCATCACGGTTTATCCAAGGTTAAGAATTTGGTTTGTCACCTATAATATAATGTAATTTTAGGGTTTAAAAAATTTTTTCATGCTATTTAATTGCAATTTCTAGAGTGTCGTGCCAAAACATGCCGTATTTCAAACGTATTGCTCAGCGTCGAAAACTTAATCCACTTGCCATTGGTTTGAAAAGCCGTTCAGGCGACGATAATCCGTCATTTTTCTATCGAGAAATTTTGCTAAGAGGGTTTGTAATTTTTTGGACTGCAGAAGATAAGAAATTATATTCACGATACCAATTTCTTTACGCCTTTTTTGAAGTTGGGACAAAGTACTGCACCAAACCTTTTCTGGGCAGACCAAGACTAGACCAGAACCTTATTGTTATTTGATTTTGAATTTTGTCGAAAACTGTTAGCTTGTCGCTTTCTGTTTTATTTAAAGCGGACTAAATAGTTTCAAATCTAATTAACTGGAAAAAATGAGAAACTGCTTTTGTGTTTGATAACTGAATGAAGTATTGCAATTTTATGATTTCAGTGATGATCTAAAAAAAGAAGATGGCGCGGATGTAATTGTGGATGTGGATTCAGAATTAGTTGCTGAAGGTGATGATGAGGTACCGGATGGGCGTTTATCAATTAGTGTAGCATTTGAAATCAACAAGATCATACCGCGACCAGAAGTGGATAACGAGGATGAATTAAAAATTGAAAACGATGGATATCTGCTGACATTGGACAATGTTAAAACAATGTATGTTCATAGTTTAAATTTTGCATGTTTGAGGTAGCTTAGAAATCAAATTAGATTTAATAAGAAGGAACTAGACCAAATCTTTGTATTAAAAAAAAAAAAAAAAAAAAAACGCTTAATGATTTTGTTGGTGACTTGTTAGGAGAATTTAGGGATAACTTTTGAGCTGTTATTTTGAACTTAACTGTGCTAATCAGTTGTCCGCAGCTTTTGACTTTCGGAAGTGACTTAGGTTTTTTTATTAATTCAGATTTACAAGCGAAGTATTGGATCGAAAACGTTTATTGAATGATATGCTAACCGTTGTTTCGGCGCAATACTGCTCCGAGATTTCATCACAGAATGTATTTGGTGGCGCTTCAATACGCTACAATACAATGGTGAAGAATGCCCATCGACTACGAGATAAAGTTTTGCTATTCACTAAGGTTCCACTACACACTTTTATAGAAACTTGCTATTTACCAAATATTCTTTGAACAAATCATACAGCTTATTTCTGTTAAGGAATCAGCGAATAGACTTTTTTTTAATTTTCTCATGCGTTTTAGTATATTTTAATATTTCAATTGATTTAGAGATTTCATGCAAAAGCAGGTCTTGCCTAATTATGAGTAAATTACATTTTGCTCCATTGATTAGTGTGATTGTATTTGTTTCTAACTTTCTTAATATAACTTATTTAGTCTGTGCACTTTCTAATTATTGTTCTTTTACGTCAGGATCAGCGGGAGAATGCAAAATGGGCACATCAAATATTACTTAAACACTTGGCTGTACCAATGTTGGCTACTTACATTGATTTGTTGAGGTTTTGCAAAACAATAGTGAGTGCTATGTTTGATATTTACAAGACATTAAATTCTAGTCTGAATTGATGATTTATGAATTTCGATTTTACTTATGATGCTAGGAAAAATAGCCAAATACAGAATTTTAGCTGAAAGTTTTTTTGGTTTCTCTACACGCCTGAATGAAAAAATATTCTCTTTTATCCAAATGAGTTGAGTTTTGAAAAGCTTTATTTTTTCATTAAGATTTTCGCTTTCAGATTTAAAGTGAAATATTTCTAGGGGCGCTATCTATTGAATTTCCTTCTGGAGCAAAGCGATACCGACAAAGTTCTAAACAAAATGAATATTTGTATTCAGGACTTTATTTCTGAAAAAGTGCTTGATCCACAAACAGTTGCTATCTGCAAAACACTTACTGTAAGAGTTTTTTTCATTGAGCTCCATGTCGGATTCCATTTAATTAATGTTTTTCATTGTTGAATTCTGGTTGAAACCTCTTTTTAGCTTCCAATATGCGGCATTTTTTGCAGCAATTGAAGAGCATACGTCGTACTTTTGTTCTATTTTTAAAGATGCTAGATTTGAGCATGAGATCTTCATGTATTCATTAATTTTAAAGCAGATCATTGCAAATATAAAGATGAAAGATTTCCAGAAAAGACATGCGAAAAACATCTGTTTGCTGACCGTTTCACCGACTTTCACACATGCTGAATATCGCTCAAGATCAAGATCACACGAATACATGTTTCGGTAAGTACCTTCTGGTGTGTGTGTGTGTGTGTTACCTTTTTCAGGTTTCTTATTTAAACTCTACTTTTAGATATCGTTTCGCTAATATTTAGAATGCGCAACTTTGAAACATGTTTTTTTCTTGATGATTAATTATCAACGAATTACTATGATCTAATTTTCCATTCTTTTTTTAGAGTTTTACTTCCGAATGTAGCGGATAGAGTGGAGCCAATACGGCTGAATTTGCCAGCTACGCAAGATATATCTATATGTGAAGCTGTTGATCACTGTATCCGATTAGTATCGCGCAGAGTAGTAGAAGTGCATCGCAAATACCCAGACCTTAAAATTGTTTTGGTTGGTTGGGGAACATCTTGTGTTATAAACCACCAGGTAAGTTTTATATTTTAAAAGTGCATTTGTTGAATTTGTTGAATGATAGACTTTTGGCTGATCCAAATGGCATTATATTTCAGGTTGTTCAATGTATGCCGAATGTATCCGCTATTATCAACTTTGCCTTCCCGATGAAGACGGCCGATGGACCAAGGGGTGTAAGTTGTTTTTCTCATTGTTTTATCCTGGTTAGTTAAAATATTTTCGATGTGATGCTTGGAATTACTCGGATTAATTCATAGATATTATTGATTTAGGATGTTGACGATGATATACTGCTTACATATTGTCCAACATTATTTGTTGTTGGTGATCAGGCTACTGATTGTGATGTTCGTGAACTGCAGGTTATGGCGACGAGAATGATTGGTTGGTTGCTTCAGCTCCTTAACATGTTTTATAAAGCTAAATTGTGTATTGCTTTTGCTGAATGCTTTAATAAATTTCTTCTACTTTATATTGTCTTACAGTGTATAATATTAAAGCAGCTTAACAATCTTTTATTGAATATAAATAAAAACCTAGTGAAATTGATTGTAATTTTTAGCTCCCACAGGAGTAATTGTTGTTGGTTCATCAAACTGTGATTTGCATCCTTCAACATTGCGGCTAACTATCGAACGATTTACTCACCGAACCGTACAAAGAGCCTTACTAGTGTGTTTCACTTATTGCAACATTAAGTAAAGAAATATCGATACTGAAATATTTTTTACATCGTTTTGGAATATCTCAAGTAAGAGAAGTTTTTTAGGATGATGTAGTCGATTTTCTACAGTTGTATTGTTCCTCGTCAACTACTCACTCTTTTCGCTTGCATCCACTGAAACTTGTTGAAGTGAACGATGTGGATTTGTCAGTTCTGCGTACATCCAATCTTTTCTCGAGCAACCAGGCGAAATCTATTAAATTCGGTTCTACACTAAAAGCTGGCAAATGAAGGCTTGTAACTGATAAGTATGTATTTAAAACGTTATTTTTAGAGATTTGTCATAATTTATTTCGAAGAATTTCTGTAAAAATAGCATTTTATGACAAATATAATGTTAAGGGAAGAGCAAATTACTTTTTTCCCAATGGGTTTTTCTCCAATTTTTTCACATATATTTTATTATATGAGATATATGGGAATGATTAAAAGGAAATAAGTAGATATAAATTTCGCAGTGTATATTTCTTTCAGCTGTTGTATGACCTATAAATTTGTTATTATTTATTTGTTATTAGTTATTGTTTAAACATTATTTATCTCTTTTTTCTTTTCAGTTCACTGAATACTTCTGTTGACAAGCATTCATAAGAAATATTTTGGATATAGACATTCTATCGGTTAAATTTTTGAGCAAAATATGAATCTCATTACGATTCTTTATCTTCATCATTATATATATAATATGTGACTTCTTGCTTTCATATAGCTTCCCTAATCGCCAAATATTGTAAAGCTATACGAGTAACAACATATCAATTAGTAACTCTTCCACACTGAAATAGCAAAATGAATTGTACTATATCTAATGCATATAATTCAATTCTTCTACGTTGCATTTTCAGTTACTTAAATTGAAACGTTATGGAAATCAGATGGTGTGTAGAAATGAGATAAAATAGTCACTGTAATAATCGCTTGCATTTTTTATGCACTTGATTATTTAATGCGATGTTCTCACAAAAGCACCATGATTCTGCACTTGTCATAAACATTGAAGATATTTATCGCACCAAATACTACCCTACAACTGAAGTCTTTTGCATTTCACGACAGAAGAGTTAAATCAACATTAATACTACTGTTATTGTTTAAAACCCACCTTTACTTTAATTGAAAACTGATTTATTTTTTCATTGATTTCTTTTGGGGAGCAAAGAAGAGAACTTTTGTCCAAGATAGCTTTTTATTTTGTTGCCTTATGTCTAACATAAAAGTTTTACAGAGATGTTGTATTTCCAGCTCTTTTTGTCCATAATGTGTGGTATAGGTTAATTTTATTGTTGATTTGGTTTTGAATGTTCTCTGAAATGTTTTATATATATATATATTTATGAAGCTTTTGTTTTACAAATTGCATTAGGAGGCTAAAAGCTTCTCCCTTCGTGTCACTAAAATTCATAGAAAACTTATCGTTTCGATTTTCTCTGCACAAGAGTGGAATGACTTTTAAATATCGAAAGTATAAAATAACTTTTTTTTGTTCATGTTAATTAAATATGTTGATTAGTGTCATCGATCTTGTTCATTAAGGTTTAATTAAAAAATTATAATTTGCCTTCTGAACCGGGAAGGATACAGTAGAGGTTTATAAAAATGAAGCCTTATAAAATTAAACGGTGAAAACTATTTCTTGCCTTTTGGAAACAGAAAGTGAATGAGAAAAAAGACAAATGCAAGCGGTGCATGATTATAACACCAATATATTCTTATCCAAATAGTGCACATTGCGATTATGTAGCTATTATTTCAAATCATATAAGTAGCTTTTTGTTTTTATGAAATTATCAGTAAGATGATGGCTTCATAATGAATTGTGTATGGCTAAGATCGAAATTGACTGATGAACGATTTGATCAGTGACAGCACAGGTAAGAGTTTAATATACAAAATCATAAAATGAAGAGTGGTATGCTACGAAAATTCTAGTGGATTAGGAAGGTGACAGTTACATATTAATCAGAAGATGATGGTTGAGTAAAGAAAAAAGAAAAATCATTTCTATCGTTAGGTTGCAACATTTTCCTTTAGAAAAATCCCAGTACGGTGAAAGATGACAAATGGGTAATGTCCCCCTTTTTCTGCTCTTCTCCCGGTCCGTGTACTACAATGCAAGGGAGTAAAGGTGACTGAAGAATAACAGAATGTTGAGGACAAGTCTCCTCTCTCTCTACAGCAGAGAGGATAAACTAGTAGTAGTTAACAGGAGGTAAAAATCGTGATAACCTATTAATGTACTCTTCTCATTCTCCTCTCCTCTCAACCCGTAACATTCAACATTCATCGATTATCGCTTGCATATGTTCCAGTAAAATTCCTTTTTCAGCTGATATTTGTTTTGGAAAATACCAGCAATTAGATGATTTTAATTCATTAGTTAATTGTTACTACAGAATAATTAATATTTATTTGCAATAATACCTCAAATGAATGAGTATTATTATATTTAAGTTGATTATTCATGCTAAAATATTATGTTATGGATTGGAAAAGCTAGTAAAATAATAAAAAAAAATTAGAGAGATAAATAAAAAATTGCATAAAGTAAATTAATTGGAATAGAAATTGATGGATTAGAAGTGATGTCATCAAGTATGAACACTGAAAGGAGACATTTGGACGAATGAATATAAGCAATGCTTAATAAAACTGTTTGAAAATAGCTGAAAACCTATGGTTGAAAATTTAATTAAAAATTTATAGATGAGTGATAATTGTACGAATGATTCAATCTGATCTAATATGATCTGTTCTCTTTCATGAATTTTTATCAGCGATAAAAACTGCGGTGTTATGGGGAAATTATCAGTAGTTCTAATTGCTGTACTGCTAATACAAAGCTACTGGATAAGTTATGCTGTCAGTTTGATTGTTTATTTTATTTTCTTTATTTATTAATTTTATTTCACTAAATTATTTATCGTTCTTATATAATTTCAGTGTATTGGTTTAGGTGGTCGCAGCTTTTATGAATGTTACTTGGATCATTTTTGCTCGGAAACAGATGTAAGTATATTTCAATTTTTTGTAAATTCAAATTGTAGATTTTTTAAGCTTATTCATTACTTATTAATTCAAACTTTGAATTTAAATTTTATGTTTATTTTAAATTAAAAATTGATTAGTCTTTTTTTTTTATTTTCAATTAAGAATTGATTAGAGGATTGCATAAAAAATAGAATTTTGAATTTCTAAAAATAATTCTGACTTTCAAGAAGTTGCTAAATTTAAATGATTTCTCTCACAGTTTGAAAAATCGCTAAAAGTACGAGATGAAAGAAATGATAATGAATTGCGATTTCCTTATCAAGCTCGATTGGAACCACCTTTCATCTCAACGGTTTTTGCATTTCAATTAAATTTCTCTTTTAAAATTTTTTCTTTTTCATACCAGTCTTCTTACAAAACGCAAAAAACAATGATATTGTTCTTCTGAAAATTAAATACCAAATGATATTTGCTTAAGAGATTATAATTTCAATCTTTTGCTTAATTATAAATCAAAAAGCTATATCAAGAAGATTAATGAAGTTTAGATATAATTTGAACTTTGTTTTTGAATTGAAATTATAATTCTAAGCATACTAACAGGTTTTTCTTTTCTTTTAAAGTCTTACAGAGATAAATTTTTAGTTAACAAAGAATATGGAATTAGAAAAATGGTGATATTACTGAAAAGATTTCAAGATCGTTTTATTAGATTTCTTGGCTTACAAGAATTAACAATTAAATTAATTTGAAAATTGATAAAATTTAAAACTTTGCTATAGATTAATGATGAAAGCGATGAATTTTTGAACTGTTGTCGTAAGCGAGGATTGCCAGAAGTTTGCTTACAGAAATGCTCTTATGTTAGCTATAATCAGAATATTGTATGTTGTCTAACCTTTTGTTAATGTTTCTACAACTTATTAGAACGTTTCTTTTTCTTTTTTCAACATGTTTTACTCTAATATCAGTTTTAATATTCTTTTATATCTTTTCAGTTTTAATTTATCAATAACTAAAATGTCTTAACAATGATAAAAACAGATCATAACACAGGATTAATATGACTATTTTGTCATTTAAAATAATCCTTCTTGCTTGTAAAAATCCACTTACAAAGCCATTGAGCTATAATTTTATCAAATCACTTCTAACATTTATAAAAATCAGCTAGCTAAGTCGGCTTTATATTATATTTATTAAGTTGGTTTAATTTATACAACTTATTATTATATTCTAGCTTCGAAAAATATTCACACAAGCAGATCCATGTCCTCTGATATCAGTTGGTGATATTCACTTTTGTGCAGCACAGGGTCATGACCATCGTCAATGTTGTGTCATGAACGGGGTCACTACGACGTTTGCAGGACAAAAATGCTTAATATTTTGTGATCAGATAAGTCTCTCTTCACTCATATAAATTTAATTTCCAATAAATTTGCTTTGTGGATTTTTTGAGTGTATTAATGAATAAAATAAGAATACATTTTGTTAGGCATAATTCAATCTTTAGTACATAGAGAAAGCATTCTCAAAGGCTTTTTAAATTTGAATGATATGCAATCAAATTCAAAACATTTCTTTCTGTCACACATCTACATAAGACATATTTTAGAGGACACAAAATGGAACTATTTTTGATGCATCATATTTGCCATGTTTCGAACGATTTGAAAATATAAAAGAATGCTTTTGGCGTTGGGCTCGAAGACGTTACCAACTGGCGGAAATATCTAAGAGATATGAAATACATGAATCAAAGACGATTTCTGATCGTAGGATACAGTTGAATACTGATCAACCACCATCACCATTTGATAATTATTGATAGTTTGGAAATAAAATATTTTCAAAATAGTTTCTGAAATTCAACTTCATACTCTATGAAATGTATACTTCTTGAAATTAATGCTTAAAGAAGAAGGAATGATTGAAGAGAAAGAAGTGTGTTATTTAAGAAATGAGAAAAAGTGATTAGGAATTTTATGCTTGGTTAATTGAATTTTTCACATTCATTACTCCTATCATTGTTGCTTCTACCATAATAACATTGATATGTGATCAGTGCTTTGCATTTTATTACTAAAGCAATACAAACATGAAAATGTCCACTTCTTAATCAAAATCATTTATAAAATACTATCATTTCAATATATAAACAATATAATTCTAACTAATTGTAAACAGAATTGCTAACACTATAAATTCTAAACTATTCTCTAATAATAACTTATTAAATG